TGACACTTTACTTTCCTAGGAACTCCTTGAACAGAATACCCTGCGAAAAACAAAGGGATAGTTCTATATCTCCCGTTTTACAGGGCCGATTGATAAAATTCTAACTGCGTTTTTCATGTATCGAAAGCACGACTTAAGATATATATTAGATTTATATATAGCATTGTCCTAACATAGGTATTTTGACACAAAATGGGACTTTTTCTAAAATAAGATACCAATTTTTCCATATTTCAATTCTACGACTCAAATTATGCCTATATATTAAATTTTGTAAAATTTGGTGTGGAATTTACGGAGAAATTCAAAACTTTATCTTCGCACAATTTTTTCGGTTTACGCCAAGAATAATTCACATGGCGAACTTCTTAATATGTGCCAATCAATTTTCCTTTCTTTTCGATTATGCCGGAGCGGAAAAAAGGCACCTCATTCCACAGTCACATCGTTTCTACTTCCAAATAATTTTAGCAAAGTGTCTAAACCACATTTGATGTTTTATCGCTTTCAAAAAAATATGCCAAATTTCAAAACGCGCGAACATATAAATTCACGTATATCTTGGGAAATTTTGAATAACAAATTGTAATTTTTTGCAGTTATGCTGAGAAATATGTCTACTTTAAGATGATGGTAAAAGTTTTATAGATTATAATTCAAAACGTTTTTTGAAAAATTCATAAAAATTATTTTAAAATACAAATTTAAAAATTAAATCATAAGAAATGGGTGAATTTTATTTGGAATGAACCTAAAGTTCGAAAGGAAGAATCAAATAAGTTTAATAAAAAAGGAAAGATTAAAAATATATACCAAATTCAATTAACATTGAGGAGCTAAAACTTTGGGAGCTAATGTTTTAAAAAACTACTCGTGCGATTTTTACAGCACTTGGTAGTTTGGCGTAATTGAGTCGCAGAATCGAAATCTGCGAAAAAACTCGTGTGTTATTTCAGAAAAAGTCCGATATAAATCTAATACATAGCCTAAGTCGCGCTTTCAAGACATTAAAACGCATGTTGAATTTCATCAATAGGCCCAGTAGAACGAGGGATATAGAACTGTCCCTCCCCCTTTTTTCCCCCGCACTAAGAAGGCTCGTTGTTTCGCAGCAGAAAGAACAAATTTTTCACTTTCATCAAAATCGTCCACGTTTTTATGGGCAGTATGACTACTGATATTAAACTCATTAGTTATCGTTTGAAGAGACAGGTGACTATTTTTATGCAACAATTGTCAAGCTCTTTCGATATTCACATTCTTTCAAGACTACGAAGTGGGATCATTCTTGGGTTCATCATTACCGTACCGCTCATCAGAAAAATCATCCACAGTACGAAACCCACATCGGATAGTGTCAATACTGCATCCTTATCTACTTTTCATAGCTTTACAATGCCTCTGTGTCTCATTTTCCTGCCTTATAGTAAAACGTTATTGCTATTATTTGCTCAGTTTTCACATTCATGATAGCTTGTGTTCGTAAGTAAACGATTAACTTCATTCGCGATTCTAACCATTAGCAATCGATACATTAAAAAAAAATAATAAGCTAAGATATTACAGTCAGCCTCATAATAAAAGAAATCAATCGTTTGGAAGATCTTTTGGAATTCATTAAAAGTTGTCTTAGCTTTGTAGGCGAATTTTAATCTATCTATCTGTCTATCTACATCTACATCTATAAATAGTATTTAATGAATAATATATAATATTTTATAATATAATATAATCAAGTAGTCTGACATAGAAGCATACAGTAACAATGATAAAATCCCAACCTATTCATTCTATCCATTCAATAGAAACTCGCGCATGGTCTCAATGTGTATATCCACTTGTATATCCCTAAACCTATAAGCAGCGTATTTACCACGAATACTACAATGAAATGTATTTCATGTTCTGTGTGAAACTTCTTCGCCGTAAGTGCATAACAACTTATCCCAGTATAATGTCCTATAAGAAAGGCCAGGTAAATCTTCCATTGGTTTAATGTAATTTTTCTCTTAATATAACAATCCATCTGCTCAGATCCCGTTATAATGGTCTTAAGAATTCGTAAATAGGGTTAAAATGCGAGTCTTTTCTGAAAAATTGGTAATTTTATTCCCCTCTCTCTTGAAGCCATTATCAGATTAATTTAAATGTAATTATGCTGAGTTGCTTTCCCACAATTTCCCTCAGTGGGTTCGTTTTAGATTTTTTTCACGCTAAAATTAAAATTTAAAGTGAAAGAGAACCTGAAGCATCGTAAGGAACGTCGTTTATCTATTCTTAAGGCGAATTGTGGAACTATAGTCTAGGAGTAATTACAATATGCACTCATTTATGCAAACCATCCTAATGTAACAAATTCTTTGCATTCTGAATTTATTAAAAGTTTTATTTTGATATTATTTATTTTCTTCATAAACTTCTGTTTTTTTAATGTTTCTTAATTCACCAAAATCACTCATTTCCATATTTAAGAGATTACATCAGTAATTTTAATTGCTTTAAATTAAAGCAAAATATCCATTTTAATTGAATCTGGAAAAATAAGTGGATTCAATAATCTTATGTTTAATTTGCTTTTAAATTTTATTCCCCCTCAAAAAAAAAAAAAAAAAAAAAAAAAAAAAAAAAAAAAAAAAAAAAAAAAAAAAAACACTTTTCTGAAAGATTAATGCGAACCTTTTCAACCGGGAAACCTTTCAAATTAAAAGGCTTTATGTATCCAAATTTAACGTTATCAAAATATGAAAATATTCCACTTTGTAAAATAAACTTTTTAAGCAATAAAGCTTCTGAAACGGCGGTCCGTAGACAGTATATAGTTTTGTTGATGTCTAACAAAACTTCAGTAGAACTTGCAGAAATGGCAGACTCGTGATACTGATTGAACATCATTTTATTCATTCTTCCTTGAATATGTCATGTAGGCAGGAGACAAGTGACAGCAGGGCCGGACACCCGGACGGCTTACAATGACTACTCGGGTACTGTCCGGACCCTGCAACTATCTATAGCTGAAACTTTTACAAATAGACATAAATATACAAGAAGACACTAATATACTTATACTGATAGACTCAATGCGTCTGATAGAGAAGTGCGTATTCACTGAGTGCTTAGATACTTATGCGATTTTATACATAGACTAATACGAGGAAGACACTTATACGCTTATAGAGGGACGCTAGTACATTTATGGACGCTAATACCCAAATTTACATAGACACTTATACACTTAACGACGTAGACACTAGTACGTAAGTACAACATACTCATAATTACGCATATACAAAGTTCGCATGTTTACAGTTCGCTTATATACATAGACACTAATAATGCGACACACTGACAAAAAAGGAAAGATTAAAAATATATACCAAATTCAATTAACATTGAGGAGCTAAAACTTTGGGAGCTAATGTTTTAAAAAACTACTCGTGCGATTTTTACAGCACTACAAAATTTACTACAAAATGCGACACACTATTACTACAATATACTACAAAATGCAACACACTAATATACTATAGACTAATACACGTTGACACTGATACGCGGGTACCATATGCACATAAAAACACATTAATAAAATTATTCTATTATTTTACAATAACTTACACATGGATACGATACACTGATATATGCAGACACTTACACTAAGATACGTAGACATTTACGATATATATAAAATTAAGTATTGGTACACATAGATACTGCGTAAATTCGATATATTTTAAAATGCACTTTTATGTGAATATTAATAATACACTATACTACTATAGGTGTTGCTCTGTATGTACTTAGATCTTTAACGGTCTAGATCTCAGATTTCGTACCCCGCAAGAGCCTACCCCTCTTAGTTGCACACGCAGCTGCAAGTCCAGCCGCTTTAAAACTGAAGTTCCAAGAACTTTTCTGAATTCTAGAATATTATGTTGCATCTATTACTTTTCTTCAGCTCAATGACTTGAAAAAATTTTTAAAAACACTAAGGAAATATATTTTACTGTATTAATATGATACAATTATGACGACGTTTATTTCACAATATGATATATCATATCTATACGTAGAAATCGTTTTTTAAATATTTGCTTTATCATGTAGGCATGTTGTTACATTATAGAGTTTCAAAACATTTTGAAATAAAATGTGCCATTTTTATTGACAGTTATGCGGAGATTTGATGGCTTGAGCAGGCATCATATTAAACGGACACACGAATGACTCTGTAACAAGCCATAAAAGAAAAGATCATATAGAGTCCACAGCCACCTTAGCAGGGCGTAGTTAGCTTTTTCATTTTTATAGACGGCGACGCTCGTCCAAAAAATTATTAATCTGATTGCTGACTCTTTGCAATTGGAATATTAGCCAAATGCATCGGTTAACCAGATCTCTAGACCTAGACACTATTGAACATGTCTGGTACACCTACTGAAGAGCAAATGCCGCATTTCCAATATGAAATTTGTGAAAGCTACATAGCTATTAGAGGGGCTTATACCATATAAGCCTCCATCTTTTTCGATCTTGCAAACTCTATTATTATGCGACAAACAGCCTTATTGCGATCATTCATGTATGCCATGAGCAGGCGTGTGTACCTATTCTATTGTATATTTTGGGTATTAAGTTCTGAAGATAATCGAAAGTAAGTGAAATTTCTTTTACTTTTAAACAGCAGTGCATGTCATCTTATAAAACTTAATAATTATATAAGAATTTTCGGCTCGAATCGTAAAAAAAACTCAATTAATAAAAAAAATAGTTTTCTTGCATATAAAAGAAAAGTAAGCTTTTTAAAGTCTTTTTAAGATTAAAACATTGCAGCAATAAACTCTTAACAGAGAACTTTTCGTTCATGTTCATTTCAGAATTACCTTAAAGTTTCTAACAAATTTAATTCTTATCAATGAAATATTTTGTTCAATCCTGTCTGATCGAAATAGATGCTGTAAAATTACATGAAGAAGCAAAACGTTTTATTCTTTTACTAACTGCGTGTGTTTTCTTTAAGGTATCGAAGACTTCGGAGTCCTGCCAATACTCTGATTGTCAATTTAGCCGTCAGTGATGTGTTGAATGGTTTTCTTCATCCTATGGCTACATATTCATCATTCAAGGAAGTTTGGATGTTTGGAAAATTGGGTATAGAAATTCTCATATTCCACAGTAAAAAATCAATTTTGTGTTCTTTATTAAGAATTTAAAACAGTTTTGCGTTTATTTCTGCTCTTCATTAAGATAAAAAAAATTATTTGTAAGATTATTTATTACTTAACAGATTGTATTACGTGTATAGTCATTTGTAAAGGTATCAAATTTAAGACGCATTTCATGATATTATAATAATCAAAAACATTCTACATACCCATTAATACGTTTATTCTATTAAGCAAAAAATAGATTAATTGCTTAAAAATATATTTTTACACTACGATAAAACATGTTATGAATATCTGTCTCGAGGTGATCCTTTGATTGTTAAAAGATTTCTCTCACATAATTGGAGCAGACGGCATATTTATTCCACTAATAACAAAAGACATACTAATGTTCCTTTACTTTCTAGGGGTTTATTTTAGTTTCATAATAGTTATTTTTATTTTTGAAAATGCTTCCTTACTTATCATTACGATTCCCTACCATAATGAATTTTCAGGATCGCGTTTTATGTAAATTCGGTAGAAACCAGTATTTAAGTTGAAGTCTCGGTCACTTCAGTAGAAGAGCTTAGAAGTTCTTAGTAAAGCGTATTCTGCCTTCTTGCTACATCCTTACTATAGTCTAATCTTAACACTTTTCGGTCGTATTGTTACGTGCTTGTCGGTGAATAATTCAATACTGATTTAAATACTCATAAGGTTACGAGTTCTTTTCCTAACTTTATGCTTAACTGCTTGCCACTTATCTGCATAATTCTGCGGTATGAGCGAGTCGCTACGAAATGAGGCAGACAGGAAAATTGAACTTAAATTTGATAGTGAAACTCAAGTATAATGCCACAAACCGCTTTAAAGAATTATACCGTATCTTTGCGAATATTATTCTGAAGAATGTTAATGCTCGTTCAGGTGTTTTTCAATATAAACCTACACGGAACATAATCGCATGGAATATTATCAAGCAGGTGATGATTCGATGAAGATGATAGCAGGTGATGATTCCTTTAGCGAGGACCTTTTATATTTCTATAATCAAACTATATCATACACAATACAGACATAGAAATCGGCAAAAACGCTTGCTGAATAGTATAGTTTCTCAGTGGATTAATTTTTTTCGAGCTTGTAGAAAGTATCCATAAAAATTCTTATGCGACCTTAATTTTCACAGCTTTCACAATTCATACTTCTTTGCTAGGCGAGATATACACGCTGTCCGGTAAATGTTGCGACAAACTTCTGGGAGAGGTAGGGCACATCATAAGGATAAGAATTGCATAGGAACCCATGCCCGTACATCTCAGGGGTAGGTGGTAGCAGAGGTAGAAGAGGGAAAGGAAACAGAAAAGTTATTAATTGGAAACCTTTACTAGAAATGAATACAAATGGTGTACGACAGCTTGAATGTTACAATAGATACTCCAACTTTGCAACATCAGAGGTCAGACATGTTTCACACCGACGGACCATTAATTGCCGGACTTGTTCAAACACACCAGGAGTTTCTTTGATTGTAGCAGCTGCGCAGGCGAGTTTTGCCAAGAAGCCTATTTCAGATACACCAGGATCGTGATACACGACACTTTTGATGGCTTCCCACAAAAAGATATCAAGGCTTGTTAAATCTGGTGAGCGTGGGGGCCAGAAAACAAGTCCACTTCGCGCTATCCATCGATGCCGGAATGATCTGTTCAAATGGCTACGAACATCCAGTCCAAAATAAGCAGGCGCCCCATCATGTTGGAACCACATAATGCGCCTCATATTTGGTGGAACATTATCAAGAAAGCCGGGAAGAACCTGCTCCAGAAATATTATTATCTCTTATTATCAGACCAGATAATTCGCGGCATTCAGCCTGGATGGAAAACGGTATGGCCCAACTAAGCAGTCGCGACTAAATCCACACACACAGTAACTTTAAAGCGTTGGGGTTTCTTGAGCCCATAAATGCTGATTGTGCTGATTAAATACGCCATTCCTATGGAATATAGCATCATCCGGGAACAACACATAAGCTCGGAAACTGACATTACGGGAACTTTCTTGCAGCAACCACTGTGTGAAATGCACACGTTCAAGATGGTCACCAATGAACAGTAACTGAAACCTTTGGAGACGAAAGACTTGGAAGGACTCTGCGTTCAAGACACGCTGAACACTGGTACGAGACATTCTTTAATTGAAAGGCAATGGCACGTATGCTGATCCTTGGATTACTCTCCATCGTATCCAACACACTTTTTTACCTAACGACCGAACGAGTCGATCGAGGTCTGCCCTCACTTGTCCTGCCACTCCTTAATGATCCGTAGTCGCACAAATTTTGATGCAAACGTGCAAACAAACTGTGGTGTTGTTGATGTCTATCGGGAAAGCGTTCTATAAATGCGTGCAGCGGCTAGTTCATTACTCAGGCTATTCCATACACTAAGTGAATGTCTGCAAGCTCTCCTTTCGTATAGCGTCCCGTGCTCTTCCTATGGCCTACCTCTCGAATGAGGCAACCCTCCATTATCCTGTACAGCAAACCCTGGCGGTGTACAGTGACGTTTCTGACATGGGTTCCTATGCAATTCTTAATCCTTATAATGTGCCCTACTTTCCCCAGTAGTTTGTCGTAACATTTACGGGACACCCTATATATTACCTCCAAGTGCTCTTAAATGATGCGCATAATCATGTTATGGTATTTTTATGTTTAAAATATCCGTTTTATGAAAGTAACGAATTTTAACATTTTTCTGTGTACTCTGGTTCGTATTAATATACCGTAAAAAATTATATTCGTTCTAGAAATGGAATTTAAAAAATAGTCTCCCATATGACAAGCATACACTGAGACATTTAATTTCATAATGTGTGGTTTTTTAGGCTTTTCTATGCCAGAAATTAATTTTATCGCTATGCCTTTCTTGAGCGACTGGTTAAAAAGTAAATAATTAGAAGTTATTTTTTTCCTTTTTATAATTTACTTTTTAGTGTCATTCAGGATGTTCATTTGTAATATACTAAAGTATAACATTTTTTACTTAAAATTTTAATACCTTTGGCATGTCTAAAGCATTTTCATTCAAGTAATTTATAAATTTTCGAATGTTGAATTAAAGTTAATTACATTCATATGCAGTTTGATTGCTTTATAATCTTAAGCGTTAAACTCATCGAACTAAAAATAGTTTTCAGTTTTAATTTACGCAATTAATATTGCTAATACTGAAATTCTGCTCTGTCTTAGAATACTCTAGTTCTATAAAATTATTTATATTATTTAAACACGAGTTCTGTAAAATAATTTATTATTTGTGAATGAGATCTCCGTTTCAAAATTTGCATTCATCAAAATTTTTGTGACTTACATTTTTCACGACAGTTGCATAGTTTCAGTTGCACTTTTACAGCGACATTTTCAATTGCACGCATATTTCGTACTTCAGTCGGAACTTTTGTCAAGGGAGAGAATTTACAGGGGACATAATCTAAAACTTAAAAACAAAATATCTCGGTTCATTGCTTCGCACGAGAATCAAACGTTCTATGTTTTATTTTTTAGAATGAATATTGTCTTTTATTAAATTTTTCATATTTTCCATAGAAATGGAAACATTCCTATGGAACATAGTTTCCGTGGACATATTTTCCATAGGACTCATTTTCCATATTTCCATAGGACTGTTGAAAAACGTTATTTCCGTTGTAATTATTTAAGTAGTATTATTAATGTTACTTAAGTAGTAATTTTAAAAAGTTAATTTTTTAGATTAAAAAGTGCCAAATAATGAATAATTGCCTTATTTAAAGCATTTTTGTGACCGGAAGTAACACTCTTTTCCATGATTTTTGTAACAAGCTTGACTAGATTAACGCCTGCGAAAATGAACGTCGCGTACAAACATTTATTTGTCATTTTGTTTGTTTTCACAAACTAAATTGTTAATTTTTTTTTTATCTTACAAGCAATGTCGTAGTTAAGCTAAATAAATGACATAATAAGAGACGCAGCTATTTTCAAAAGTTCAAGTTGTTTGATCGTTGTCAATACCAAATGGAACCTTTAGAAACTACCTCTCCTTTTACATAATATGTGGTTTTCACATCTATATTTTCTATCATCTAGTATCCTTTAGACATACGAAATAAGACCTATTATGTTCGAATCAATTTGGATGTCTAGTATTGCATGGTACCGGATAAATAAAGTTTCTTGTACCTGCTGAATAGACGTTGCTGACGATCATATATCACAAGTCCATTGCTTCATATATTCACAAGTCTGTTCAGTATTTCAGACCCATTCTATTTGGGTATTAATTATAAACGTAACTAACTAGCTGTAAATATTTGCCCAGATTTTGGTGAGACCTTCAACCGAGTCTTCTATTGGTCAAATTTTAATACTTTTTTCGTCTATGTTGGGTCCTTATCTTCTTACGCTGTGGATGATTTTTAAGCGAAAAGAAATGTTTGTTGTAATTTTGGCCATTAACTATTGAAACAACACTTTTTTTAGATTTTTAAATATCTTATCAACAGCAAAGTCTAAAATCTCTCGTTCCAAACTTGTAAAATATCTTATTCTGAACTGAAGTCAACTAGCAACCTTTTAAATCAGCTAAATTCTAACCTTAACTGAAGTTGATTTAGGGAAGGAGGACTTTATTCATTCTGCAGAAAATAATTCGAAGATCCCGTTTTGTTTCATTAAAATATTAATTAAAATGAGTCTTCTTGAGATGCAAATTGGACCAGTTTGAAATTTTATATTTTTGTGCCACTCTTCCATTTATTTTCAGCTCATATTTGCTTTGTGATGTGTCCACAAGTTTCATTTTATATGATGTTTGCAAGATGATGAGAATGATATGTAGCATACCTCTACCATTACGGATGACATTTTAGGGTTAATATATGACTAGGATTAATATATAACTTAATATATGACACTTTAGGGTAATCTTTTGTATGATTACTTTCTTCTAACCC